ATTCCAAGATCTTCATTCACCGTTGGATCTTGATCCAACAGTGGCAAGGCCACGGCCCACCACCATGTGTCACCAATCCAAGCAAGATCCCAAGGCAAATGGGGTCAACAGGAATCTGCATACACAACTTACGAAATGGACCACCAAAGCCTGCCCATATATAATACTTAACACGCTGGCTAGGCTATGACTGCTTTTGCATCTCTCCGTCTCTCTCAAAGAAAAGATGAATCGTTTTCAGTTTCAGCTTTGCTCCCTTGTTGTTATTATCCTTCTGTTTACTCCCAGGATTCAAGCAATCCGGAGGAACCTTGCATCTGGCACTTCTGCCGAGAGCCCCACAGACCCTGGCCAACAGGTTTTTCATCCAGGGTCGAGTGCTGCACCCTTTACAGGTCAATCCAGGCAGTTCGAGGAGAAGCGAAGAGTTCCAACAGGGTCAAACCCATTACACAACAGACGATGATAGTGAAGACCAGTTACAAAAAGAACTCAAAGTTCAGATACTATATCTCTCTCTTTTCTTAGTCTTCTTCTTTTCCTGTTGCATAGGCTTTGCAATTTCAGCATCTTTTCTCTTATGCTATAAGCATATTTTTGGTTGATCTCTGTGACAATATCACAAATTATATACCTAGTTTAGTTATGTAGAGATATTGTACAGGAGGTAAAGATGAACGTTTTTCTTAGAACTCTTGCATGTGTTAGATTGATTATCACAAGGCATTATTTTATATTTATTTGTTTCTAGGCTTTGTATCCCATACAGAAATGGGTCAATAATGATCGTATGTTAAAGCTTTACAGATATTTTTATATGTAATAGTAGTTTATTTTTCTCAGCATCTTTATGTGCTTTTGAGAAATGACATGAATATATAGAATTGTATCAAGTGAAAGTAAGTTTCTAACAGAATTTAATAGGGCTGAGGAGCTTGCTTGTAGCCTTCCCTTTGCTTGCCTAGAATTCTAATGACAAGGAAGAAAAAACCAGAACTTCCAAAGAATGTACTTGGAACTTGGAAGGTTTCACTTGTATGAAACCAAATTTGGGAACCCTTCCCCTTTCATGGGTTTTCTAGGTAACTGCACCAAGAGGGATTTTTGCAGCTTTCTGAACCATCATCATCGTTTTTCTTGGCACTGAATGCAATTCTGATTTGCAATTCAAAGCTACCACACAAAGCCCAAGATTTTAACAGATTGCAACTGGCAAAAACTCAAATTAGCATTTTTAAATGACCCACTCTTTCTTTCTAGTTTGAAAGTTATGTTGAGTGATTTAAATGGAGAGTGTTAGCTAGTTCACTCACCTCCTGACTCAAAGACCCAGATTTTAATGGCAGTTTAATTGCCCATTATTTCATACAACAACCATGCAATTAAGGGTGGATAACATGTGTACAGAATGGAATATTTTGTAAGCCATTGGGCCTACAGGCACATACCATACACAGTCAGATGCTGCCACCCTTCAGATTTACAGCTTGCCCTGCAGCTTATTATTATTGGGTTTTTTTTTTTGGTACAGAACCAAGCTTATTATTGTCGTAGCTGGACCATTTTATTTATTAAAGTTTTTTTTCTTAATTTTGTTTTTACCCTTATTTTACCAAAGAATGCACAATCTGGGCTTGATACATGAAATCTATTAGCCACGAGTGAGTATCCCCTCCAACTTTAAAGGACTCGGAAAGTAGTAAATGTAAGTTATTATTAACCAACAAAGAGGTTGTTCAATTGATAAATTGGTCTGCTTAATAATGAGCGGTTGAATGTACTAGCTTTATGAAATGCAGTGGACAACTTCTTCCGAGAAGATTAAATAATCAATATAACATGAGAAAAAAAAAAGTAATAATTCACCGCCCATTTTTTCATTTTTTTGAAACGCAATTCACCTCCCATTTAAAGTCAAACAAATTAAATAGCGTCCAATTGTAACATTAAATTGACCTAAATATGAGAGACAATTTATTAAGTCATAGACGTACTGGCATAAAAGCTGGGAAGAGACCATGCAGTAGACAGCAGGGCATAAATGAGATGGAGATGGAGATGGAGATTGTGAAGGTGGGGTGTGGTCCATAGCGCGCGTCCAAGTGCAAATGCAGTGGATACCAAATCCACATCCACATCCACATCCCATCGACCTTTTTATGTGTATGCGCATGAAATGTAAATACTTGAATTTAGTTGAGCAAATTATTACATCGTTGAAACGAACAATTCTCACCCCCAAATGGCAATGCTAAGTCTACTAGAAATTGGCACGCCCCCGTCCATCAGTCAAGGCTCGTGGGAACTGAACATGGCCCCATTATCGCAGCGCTTCTCACCCGTGGCCTGTGGGTCTAATTACCTCTCGCCTGCAATGCCTAAGCATAAATTAAAGCACCTCTTCTCTTATGCTTGTTTATTGTCAAACACCCGTTTCCAACCCCCGTTTTTTGTTGTAGACTCATCTTCTTTCAAATACATATTTAACTTAAGCTTAAGCCTTAATCAAATCGGCATTCGCATGAAAAGAACCAAGTGATTCATTGTTTTCATCTCATTCGCACGAGTCTTTCCCAATTATTTCTCTCTTGAGCAGCTTTTGCTTTCAGCGTCGCTCACCCTCTTAACACTATCCAGACGAAGACCTCCACTTCAGAAGGAGGAGCAATTTTCAACCGCACTTGCTTCCACACACCTAGGTTACCATCCCCTATTCCAAGTACAACTCTACAAAATGAATTTCAGAGTAATCTCCACTGGAGGCCCCTTTCTATACCAGCTTATCCTCACCATTACGACCCAGAACGATGCTGGTCAACATGGACTCGTATAGTTTTATGATAAAAGATGAGAGCAGATTTTCATGATATTCATTTTGATATTTGCCTACTTTGTAAGAAAAAATGGATGTTCTTTCAGAACTTATGTTTAATATGGTGATTAATCAGTCTAAATGAAGTTATTACCTTAAGAAATTAGGATTTGTTAATTAAGATGAAGTGAAGCTTAAACACGTAAAGAGTAGTCCAATGGTTGATCAAGATAACAATCGAGTCCACTTTACTTTGTGTGTGTTTGGGGGGGGCATATTTACTGCGAGTTACTTGGGAACTTTTTGAAACTTTAACGTGTGTGCGCTTAATCGACTGAAACCAATATTCCAATAAAACTTTAAATTTGAGAATGATTCATTAACAGAAAATACTAGCGCTATTGATACGAGATTATATAATGAGAGTTAATTTTTTCTCTCTCTTAAACCTTATCTCAACATTTAAATTCAAGATGTCCAAAATAAAATCTTAAAGTTTAATCATTAAGATTTTTTTTAGAGATAAAAATAATAGTTATTAATTAGTGATATAATGTTCAAATAAGTTCTTAAATTATTAAAAAAAATTTAAATAATTTTTTATTATTTTATTATGTTCAATCAAATTTTTATATTTTTATTTTAAGTTAAATAAATTTTTATGATTAATGATGACTAATTATCATTAGTTAAAATTAATGATACTTATCATTTTATATTTACATGACATTGTTGTGAAGAGTAAAAAATATCACATAATCATATTATTATATTAAATTAATATATCATGTCATCATTAATTATAATATATCAACATATCATATCATTATCAGTTATGATATATTAGCATATTACATTAACATCACGTCACATAAAATAATAAAAAATATTTTAATTAAATCAATTTTTAGTCATAAAAATTTATTTGATTCAAAATAAATGTCTAAGAGTTTATTTAGTTCAAAATAAAAATATAAAAATTTGATTGAACGTAATAAAAATCTAAAGACTTATTTAATTTTTACTAAATAAGTTAGAGACTTTTTTAATATTATATCTTAATTAATTTACTCACATATATTTCAAAGAATAAGTTAACGTCATGGATTAGAAAATGGTATGATACAGAAAGAAAACTTCATACTACAAATTGAGATAATCAATATATATATATATAAGGAAAATACAAAAATGGAAGATATTATTATCTGATACTATGTATGAGTATAGTAAAAAAATTGTGTCTAACATTTGATTTATTGAAAAATTATGGTATTATTTCTATTTAGTCATAGTGTCAAATCAACTATGTTGAAGATGGCACACAAGTGATACAAACACTAAATGAAGACAAAAGTGTATCTCCTTCACCATGCAAATTAACTGTGTCGAGAGCTAGCTCTCAATGTTGGTTAAGATCTTGTTTCCCAAGGAAAAGATAATTGGACATGTGTTTGAGGTGCTTGTTCCTCAAGAAATATATAGATTGCTCCCAACTCCAACTAATTAGTCCTATTACTATTAATTAAATAATGAAAACAACAGCCGTTTTGCTTGACTCACCTTACTGTTCTAGATTACATTGATAAATTTGAATAATGTTTTCTTTCAATGAAACCAAATTTATATATATTATTTTAGTTTTACCTTTTTGGCTTAGCTCCTTAAAACTTTGATCTTAATTATTTTAATATTTTATTTATTTAAAATTTGAAACTATGTATTTAAAAATTACTTTATTCTAAGTTTTTTCAATGATTTTAGTTAATAACAAAGAATCAAATGTGAAAAAATTTAACTGTAAAAAATTAAATTCAGAAACTAATTATGAGAGGAGTTGAATAACTATAACTTAAGAGTGTAATTACTTTTAATATACTATATATACACACACTATGCATGAGAAAATGAAATGGATTTTTTTTTTTACATATTTACAAATTTTCCTTACTCTATAGAATTAAGATATAATACATTCATTTTGACCAAATAAAAAAATTACAAAATTAAAAAAAAAAAAACTTTTTGTTTTGGATACTTGGAATCAGGAAAGAAGACCTTGAAATTCAGACAAGAAGCTGAAGCTATAAATACTTGGACAACTTGAAAGTCGAGCAAGATACAGTTCCAAAAGCCAATAAAAAATCTTAAACCCAAATCCCCATTTTTGTACAATTCTGCAAAAGGAATGAGTTTTCTTGCGGGTAGATTAGCAGGAAAAGAAGCAGCCTTCTTTTTCCAAGAATCCAAACACGCCGTTAACCGTCTGGCCGAGAAAACCCCCAAGAGCCTCCCATCGACCCCACCATCACTCGAGCAAGAAGCTCAAGCTGACGTCCTTCCAGAGGTCCTGAAACATTCTTTGCCTTCCAAGATCTTCGGCCAACCGTCTGATCCTTCCTCTCTCTCGAAGGGCTCCAAGTGGGCCCTCCATTCTGATCCAAACAATGCCTCCATTTCCTCCCCTGATGCCATGAACCCTCTCAGGGCTTACCTTTCTCTGCCCCAGGTTACCTTTGGCCCCAAAAGGTCAGTTCTGCGCCTCATATTTCTAACCAAATTCAATTTTGTTTTTGTTTTTTTTTTTCTCTTGTGTATTAGTTTTTCACTGTGTTTAAATGGGGGATTTGCAGGTGGGCGTTGCCAAGTACGGAGCATTCGGTTATGGCATCGACGGCTAATGAATTGCGGAAGGACAAATTTACCCCTATCAATCCGGAGAAGTTGAAGGCGGCTGCTGAAGGACTTCAACAAAGTATGTTCATTCGTTTTTCTTCTTGATGTTTTCGTAGCTTATCTAATTTGGTATGATTATTTGTAATCTTATCTAATTCGAGTTAGAGAACATTTTAATTCCGTCTTTTGGTTCCTTTTTTACCTGTAATATTTTTGCATAAGACTTCTAATACTTGGTATTTGTGTTTATTTATATAGTTGGAAAAGCTTTTGCGGTTGCAACTGCAATTGTATTTGGCGGGGCGACCTTGATGTTTGGAATGGCAGCCTCCAAATTGGAGCTGCACAATGTGAGTATTGCGCGCACCAGATAACCCTGTAATTGCCTGTAATAATAGAGGATTGATTTCCTCCAACGTGCACTGAGCAAGCTTTGAAAAGATAAAAAAGCTAAAAATACTGCATATCTATTGGATAGAATGTTTATCACCACTTTCCCATAGTTTCTTAATGCCTTTCTGGTCATGTTCTAGGAGAATAGAGTTTTGTTATCTATCAGATAGATCATCAATTGAGAAATTCTCTTCCAGATGTTTCATTTGGATATCTAGTTTTCTAGCATATTTAGGATTTCTGACAGTATGAATCAGTTGAAGTATAAAATGTACAGTAGTTCAGAACTTGGTCCTAATAATGTATAACAAATTCTGCAATGGTTTTATTGTGGATTAAACTTACTCATCATCGAATTCTGCATGGTAATTGACTTGTTGTCTATCATAATCGTTCAGAAACATAAGGACAGCACATTTGATCCCATCACACATGATGCTGTTATGTGTTATTCTGATGATGATGACATGCGTATCAAATTAATATACCAACACAAACCCTTGCTTCCAAACCAAGTGAGAGGTTAACTTTAACTCATTCATGTTATTCTGTCTTCCTGCCCTATCAAGAGGCAATATCATTTAACTGCCTTGCCTATAGGGGTAAGTGATTTTTCTGCTCCATGACATGACATGTTCCGGTTCTTGTTTGTTAGCCTTTTCTGCTGCGTTATAAGTTAGGAAATGCACTGAAGCTGCCTTGCATTTAGGGGTAAGTGATTTTTCTGTTCCATGACATGTTCTGTTCTTGTTTGCTAGTCTTTTCTCATGTGTTCCAAGTTAGGAAATGCACTGAAACTGCCTTGCATTTAGGGGTAAGTGATTTTTTTGCTCCATGGCATGATCTGTTCTTGTTTGCTAGTCTTTTCTCATGTGTCATAAGTAAGGTAATGCACTGATAATGGTGAAATACTTTCCTTATATCCTTCTTTTTTTGTTATTTTGTTTTCTTCTGCTTTTGACAGAGTGATGACATCAGAACAAAAGGGAAAGACCTGGTTCAGCCTAAATTGGAGATGATCAGAGAACAACTTTTCCCTGTAAGAACTTGGGTATGTCAATCAGAAGTTCAATACTTTCTTTTGTTTCTAATAGTACTTTTAACTAGTCTAACTGTGATGGCACTAACTCAGAAATTCTAATTTCAGGCTGAAAACATGTCAAAGAAATGGAACCTGGCAAGGGAGGAAGCTATTAAAGAAAAACGTATCATAAAGGAGCTTTCTAAAATTTTAGGGGCAAAAACGTCTAATTGACTTGTGTGTGTATGTAAATTTGGAATCAATACAAATCAGACTGCATCTCAATAAATCAAAAGGGCAGAAAAGTTTCCTTGTAAGTTTTCCTCTATGAAGTTATATTTGAAATAATTATTGTCTTCGTGTATATAATATGTACAGCATCACTCCATGTAAATTATACAATCTTTCTTTGTTAAATTATTAGGTCATTCCTTAGTTTCAACTTTGCACTTAAAACAAGATTTTATAGGTGACATCATGAACTTTTGTTCATTTGCAGCATTCAATTATGAGAACTAACTGAAATCTTAATGTCTAGTAAATTATTAGATGGCTAGATGGAAGGAACATTGATTTAATGAGTTTTGTTTTGTCACTTGGACCTTGTTTTAAAGGACTTTCTGTTTTAAAACATGCAAAAAGATGGGCTATACCTTGGGGGTTATTTAGCTAAGCAGGTATTTCACCAGAGAAACACCTAAGCAGAAGGGGTAAAGAGAGGGAGTATTACATGATCTAGGTCTTGCTGCAGTCAAAGTGGCTTGTGTTGGAATAGGCAGCCCAACAACAGCTCTGTACCTTTGTTTCTTAAAGATCATCACTCTATCCATATGGAATTTGTTATTTTAGATCTTTTTATCATGTCAAACAATATCATTCCTACAAATTTAATAGTAAAATGTTAATTTGTCCTACATTTGTTGTCTAATATTGTGCCTTAGCAGACACGGTGATATAGCGTACAACAGTGTTGGACAATAAATGTCATCGGTGCCAAATATGTCTCAAATATATGTACGATTTTATTTTTATAAAATCAATTTAATAAATTGTATGTACAGAAAGGTAACGATGAATCAGCTTTTCTATGCTCTAAAGGAAAGAAGATAAAATAGTCCCATCAATCTGTGCAAGAACTACAAATCGTTCAATGAATTTTCATTGCTAACTATTCATAATCTTGTGGGAAAGCTGATGGTAGCAAGAGCAACTAGTTGAGCCTTCATTTTCCTCTATTAGTCTATTATGTGTCAGCCCTCTTTGCCTAACTATTCATAGCCTGTAGTCTAAACCAGATCCATATTTCCAAGCCTCAAGCCGCCGCTTCCATTCATACTTCATCTTGGATGGAAAAGCATTTAACCATGACCTTGCAAAAGGAAAAACAAATTGAGCTATATCCAGATGGTATAAGTGAAAAGCACAAGTCAAAGAAATTGCTTGTCCTAAATCTGCTAAGTGTCATTGAATTTGTCAGGCTTCAACATAGCTCAGTGAAAACAAGACCAAAATATTACCTTATGACGGGGTCCATGAAGGATGAGAGAAATGTATAATAACCCAGCATGAAAAAATGTCCAGACCAGTCAATAAGAACAGGTATATCAACCTGTAGATGAACAAATGGATTTCACTATGAGAAGCCAAATATACTAAAGACAGACACGCAAGTTGATTCACTAATGTACTTGGGTTTCTAAAAGTTTTATATGGATTACAAACAATATCAAGATATCAACTTAGTTTCTGGCAATCTGCACATTCATCGACTAAACTAAACAAGATTCAATTTCAAAAGCAATTGTTACACTTTCAGTTCCAAGCAAAACCACTTGCTGATCTTTGTTAAATATCCTTATGAAATACATATATTTGAGAGACCACAGCATAAGACTTGTTAGTTACATTTTTCCAGCAGTGGTTTTCTTAAATTTACTCAGATTATGGAAACAGAAAAAACGTACAAAACTGTCTTAGAAAATGCGGTTGCCATTAAAAGTGAAAAATATCGTAGAGGCTAAAAAAGTCAAGTTCTATCAAAGCCATATGAACTCATTTTTGAAAACCTTCAACTTACACAGTTGAAACGTATGTATCACTTGCTTGAAGAAAAGGGCTAAAAGGACCCTTTTGTGTTAGTAATTACCTGCTTGAATATTGATGGAAGAATTTGAGGTTTAGTTAGCATTACAAGGCCTAACGTCTTGGCAAGGGGCCCAAACTGTATGACATCCTGTCACAACATAAAGATCACATGAAAATTAATGTCATTGCTATGCGCTGAAATTCTTGTTATATGAGCACCACCCAAGAGGTGAAATTTGAAAACTGAAAAAGTAGGCGCTAACCTGTAGAAATGGTCTTAGCACAGGGTCCCCTAGCCTCTAGAGATGAGGAACAGAGGTTCATTAGGAAATGATAAACAAAATATGTGCATGAAGCAGGGTAGAAAAGTCTCAGCATACAAAAGCAGGCTTACCTGCATGCTCTTGAAGTTTATGTCAAGAAGCTCATTAATAAACTCTGGTGAAACATTGGTCTGTTTCCTTGCAG